TTAAGATGAGAACAATATCAGCTAAATTGTAAGATGTGTTTATTTGTAATATGAATGGACATTCTAGGGGTTTTATAAATCTTATCATGTAATGTGACATAGTTTTTGAATTAACTGCAGACAAATAGTGAGAAATGTCGACTCGATGCAGAGTCACATTCATGAGAGGATCTTCGCCCAGAGAGTAGTGTGGGGTGTGTGTGTGTGTGGTGCTGCTATGGTCCTAGAAGACATTGGGAGGGGGGCATAAATGGACATAAAATACAGCGTTTGTGAGTTGCATTTAAAGATATTACCAAATTAATACCAAAATGTAAAAGAAATATTCCTTTGTTTCACTGTGAACTTCCCACAAGGCTGTGGTAATCCAAAATGTTGAGACAGTGTGTAGTGTGGGTGGGAAAACAGCATACTGAAGGTGGGTGCTGAGTTTATTTCACAGAAGCAAATGATCTTTTCAAGGCCAATATGAAAAAGATAAATAACTGTAGTAGTACTGCAACTAACCAGTGTTCCTATTTCCAGTTTATCTGCCGATTATCTCCCTCTAATCAATAAAGGTTTTTTCTTGATAAAATATCCGAAGATGGTAAAATGGTAAAGGGAACAGAACATGGAAAATCCCGACAACCAAAAACATGAAACCAGGTAAAGAAAACCAGGAAAATGGCATCTTTTCTTGTTAAATAAATGATTTAAATGACGAATTGCTTAACAAAATGACTGCAGAGTGATTTTCCTCTTGAACAACCAACCTCTTATTCCTGTCAGCTCTACATATATTGTATTAAGGTTCACTCAAAACCCAATCTATCATTTAATGAATCTATTCTCCTCCTTTTGAAGGAGAAAATGTTTTGCAGCTGAACTTTAAAAAGCTTTTAAAACTTGAAAATACTTCAGCAATTAGTCTCCAGAAAGAAATCATCCTGAATCAAAAGAAAAATTATAAAGTTAGGATGTTGTGTAAAATGTAAATGAAGCAGTTATTTTCAGAGCATTTAAATACTCTAATTGTAAATAGCATAAAAGATAACATTTGAAGGTAAGAGCAAAAAAAAAAGGGGAATTAAAAAAATGTATTTGATGCCGGCAACATATTTGTTTAGATAGAACGAGGTTGTGTAATGTTTAAAAATAACCACTGGCTGGAACATATCACAGCTAATCAGGTTAAACAGTAACACGACTGGGTGAAAAATTAACATGCCAGAGAGGCTGACGATTTTCAGAAGTAAACATGTGGAGGGGTTTACCGTCCCATGAAAGAGTACTCAGAAATTTTTAAAAATAAAATTTATAACTCAATTTAAACTTGCAAAGAATTCCCACATCTACGGTTCTCAGATAGCATCTCACAGGCAAGTAAATAGTGCACTTACTCACATTTTATTCATTCGGACACGCACTGTTCACTTTATTAGGTTCAATTGCTTGTTAAGGCAAATATCTATCTAACAACTCAGTGCATTTAGACATGTAAACATCATGATCAAGACGACCTGTTGAAATTAAACGGACTATAAGAAAAGTGATTTGAGTGATTCTTTACTTAAGATGGTTGTTGGTGTCAGATGGGTCTGAGTGTTTCAGAAACTGCTGATCTGCTGGGATTTTCCCACACAACCACTCCTAGGGTTTATAGCGAATAGTCTAAAAAAGAAAAAAAAAAAGAAAATATTCAGGGAGCAGCAGCTCTCTGTGTGAAAATACCTTGTTGATGCCAGAGGTCAGGAGAATGGCCAGGCTGCTTCAAGCTTATAATTAGGACACAGTAACTCAAATAACCTCAAATAATCTCTGAACACACAACATTCTGAAATCTGAAAGAGATGCGAACCATGTCCATCGCATGACCACAGCATTACCCATCTTCTGATAGCTACTTGCAGCATTTCACAATGCTTAAATAATCTCAAACTATTTTCTTTTTTGAACATGGGAATGAGTTCACTGTACTCAAATCATGTCCACAGTCATCAGAGCTCAATCCACATCATGGATTTACAGACAACACATCTGCAGCGACTGAGTGATGGTATCGTGCCAATATGGATGAAAAACTCAGAGCAAATTTTCCAGCACCTCGTTGAATCTATGCAAAGAATTGAGACAGCTCTTAAAGCAATGCAGTACTAGTGTGCTGTACCTAATAAAATCACCAATTAATGCATACTATGACATAGCAGCATGACATGATTGACAGTTATAAACATAAATGGCAATCATCTGAAGAGGCACATTAGCATTTTAAAAGTGTGGCTTTTTTTTCATGTTTCCTTGCTTCGTTATTTGGCATGTGATTAAGGGCCACACATGAAAAAGACAAGATAAAGAAATGTGTATATTCCCCTGATACACGCCATGTTAAACCATTAAAAAATTAAATAACTCACAGACTGTAGAGAGAACTCTATGCATAAGGACAAGGCCTAAAACCAGTATCAAATAGCTGTGACCTCTGGGTACTCAGAAGGCCCTGCATCAGAAAACAGATATAATTCTGTAGTGGAAATTGCTGCATGGGTACAAGAACTCTTTTGAAAAACTGCATTTACCTTCTCATTGATTGCACTTTGTCCCTACAACAAATGCAAGTTAAAAGCTTCATCATCATCTGATGACAGAAAACATAATACAAACATAATATAAACATGAAATAGAGCTCATTTAAGATGGACAGACACAAAGAGGAACTCTTTAATGTGGTTTATCCAAAGTTTTTTGTTTTTAAAAATCATGGACAAAACATCCTTGAGACTAAAGGAGAGGGACCATCTGGCTTGTCAACAGCCTTGGGTATGGAGAGGCTTTAGTGAACATGGGACATTTAACTTGCACATCTGTGAAGGCACCATTATTGCTAACGATGTACAGAGCTTTTACAGCAACATATGCCGCCATCTACATTATGTGCTTTTCAAGGATGGAGGCTGATGCCCCGTGACCCATTGAATTAGCCAAAAAGAATCAAACTTTAAGCAGTTAAAAGAGCAGAAGGGGTGATACGGCGCTGGTGGACATCCCAGTTTTGACATTTAAATGTGTTGCTGGTATTAAATAAAAAAAATGTACATATGTTATATGCACAAATAAAATACATGCCTTCAATGTTAAACAATTCAAAACTCTCTCAATAAATGCATTCTGTTTAAGCTGCCAATAACAGTCGAGCATGATTGGATTTAACCTGGCCAGCACTACCACAGTGAATGCATTATCCTGACAACAAAGCACAGAGGTGGCTGCATGAATGCAAAAGGTGTTGGGGAAATGTCGTCTATAGATGGCGTCATGAATCGATACACCTCACACGCTTCTGTTGGTCTACAGAAAACAAGAAGGTGAGGCATATTCAAGCACCCTAACGGTCCAAAGCAGACGGTTAAATTCATGAGAAGAAAAGTGAGAACTTTGACCTGGCAAGTGTGCGCTCTGCATGAATCCAGCAGAATGCCTATGGAGAGGAAAACAGAGCAACACAACCTCTCTAGCAAAGAGTAACTGAACAAGAAGAAATCTGTCATCAAGAATAAAGATGGACATAAAAAGTACTAAAGAAAAACGGAACTGTTGCCAAATGTGTGCTGACCTTAAAATACGCTTCTGCTGTGGAGTTTTACAAGGAAACGGTTTTTTTAATAGATATCCTACCGCTCATTGTCAAATTTTGCCATAAGACTTAAGTAGACATAAGTAGTTAAAAATAGTCACGCAGCAGCGGAAGCAGCTCTTTTAAGAGTACATGATCATATTTAGTAAGCTGTATTTTGGTGTTGTAGCTGGTTTAGTTAGAGGTAACTCTGACTAAACCGTTTTATGTAGACATTTTATTGTATGCAAAATGCTATTCTGTAAAGCTGTGAAAGAAAAAGAAGTGTGTTAAAAATTCGCTATGAAATTTAAAGGACTGGAAGTATGTGAATTAATGAAATAAATGTAAACAAACTCTTTCAAAACTGTTTAACGACGGTCTCGTGACAAGTTTGAGAAGTTGTTTTATATATATATGTGTGCGACATTAAACTCTTGGTGGCACAAAGTAGGCCTTTGTGCTACTCCTGACATATTAAACCCAAGTACGCTTATTTGTTCATTCCCAACAAACCTCATCAAAACGGTAGAAACCACAAAACGCAATGGGGCGGCTGCCATCGATTATTTACTGCTCTTCTTCTTTCCTCCTCAGTGAGTTGTTGTTTTTTTTTTACGGCAGCTGGTACATAGCAATTGCTGCTTTACCGCCCCCTACCGGTCTGAGCGTTAACTGCCTTTCCTTAAGCTGCTGAGGCCAGGTGGATTTGTCTAAATGTGACCGCGAAATATCTCCCGAATTGAATATATCTCCATATTACACGCACCAATAAGATTAATATAGCGACTGATAAATGAAAATGTTTAGGCAGTTTTGAAGGACTATAAAAGCAATTAAACTGACCAAAATAGTTTGATGCAGAATTGAAAAGTACAGATTTGGCAATTTAATGCGATTTGGGTGATTACAGTGTCTCGCTCTCTCCTTCTTGTGTTTTTGAGAATTAGTCTACAGCGTGAGCTTATCACCCTGCTTGTAAAAATCTTACACCCCTTAAGAGCAACTGCTAATAGTATATTGTAGTTTAATATGCATAACAGACATAAATGAAGGTCTAATGGGTCAAGTTATGGTCAATATCCACATGATTAAAGTATTTGCAGTATTTGTTCACCTCAGTTTACTGCTTTTGATACTAGACTTGAACGGAAGATTTAATTTTTTTTAAAAAAAATCTATCAATAGATCTTTAAACTCCAAGCACAACGAATATGGGAGTCTTAAAACATTCCCCATCTTTCAAGTATTTTCCCCCTTTCAAGATTTAGTTTCAGTTTTCAAAGCTACATCCCCATTAAGGTCATTCTAATGTTTTAGATGCTGCATCTGGAAATTAATTTATAGAAAAATATGTTTACGTGCTGTAATTGATATACTATAAATAGAGGGGAAAAGAAAATGAAGATACTGTTTTTTTGTTTTTATTCAAAAACCAAAATATAAACCACACTACACTTTTAAAAAGCCTATTTTCTCATTTGTACATTACATTTTAGTGTTGAACACATTTTAAAACTAACCACATGTGAACAATCAGCACAAAGACAGGGAAACAGTTTGATGATAAAAGGAAAACAGTTTTGATAACTAACGAAGTACTTCAGCTTGCTTTAGGTTCAACAGCATTCAAGATGTAGAAAAAGGATGTGAAGAGTTTAATTTAAAAAAAAACAAACAAAAAACAACACACAAAAAACAAAACAAAACTGCTTTGATGGCTCCATAAGAGCAAAACTCATCCAACAAATTATCCTGAAAAACAATCCCTTGGACAATAAAGGAATGTAGTGCTGGTTCACCTTTCTTCCTGGTTGGCAAAACCAGTATTGAAAATAAAAAAATAAAAACAAAACAAAAACCAGACAGCAAGAACACAACAGGAACACTTGGATTAAGCTACACATTAGTTGAGTCCACTGTTAAATACTCCTTAAGTTACATGTAATTAGATTTGTCAGACAACTGTCTGCTCACAAATTTACAATGAGTGTTTTGGCACAGACTGCGGTTGTATCATTTGTAGTATGATATGTGCTCTGCATTAAATTAACAATTCGAAACAGTACACGGGCTGTTTTCACATGTGGCGATATGAAGAACTGGCAAAAAATAACTGCAAAACAGACCGCTGTTCTGTTTACGTCTACAATAAATCATTCATATAATCCATTACTTTTTCCCCTCTTAGTTTATACATAGACAGAGGAACTTTACCCCATTATAAAGAACATCACACTTGAGGTACCATCAGCACATCCTTCAGAATCAGAAAATTAATTCAAGCTGGTCCAGTCAATAGAAAGAAAAAAAAAAAAAAAAAAAAAAAAGTGAACAGAGAAATGTGCACCAGCAGTTTTTCCCCCATCGGATCTTTCTTTTCGACGCGGGATGCAACAACAGCATGGGTACCAACGTATCTGCCAACACTAACCTCCAAAATGTATTCTTTAAATTTTTTTGTAAAGAAAAAAAACCCAAAAAAACCAAAAACAAAACAAGTCCACCTGTCCACATGCCATAACACAAATGCACTCTTTCCCTCATCGTACCCCAACAGGGAAACTGCACGCCGACCTGTTTTACTTGCTTTGCTTACTTGGATATGATTAACTGCAAGTTGCTACACTTAATAGTTCCTCTTGTGTCCTGATGTTGGGAAATGGAAAAATACAGCGACTAAAAATAAAGAAGCCCAAAGTAAAATAAGAATGCAGAAAAGTCTTAAATAAAACTAGTCTTGTGGCTCTTTACAGCTTCTGCAGCCGTGCAAATATTAATGGTTAAATATTAAGTAAGAACTTCATTCTGAAATAATCCCTACAGATTCTGTAGAGTCTACAAATCTCATTTATGTGCAAAAGGATCTTAAAAAAAAAAGTCTTCTACTTTGTGATACTTGACTGTACAAATGACTAGCAGTTATAAGGCATGAACGGCGGCATTGCACGATGTAGGTTAAAAGAAAAGACGACCTACTGAAGCAACACCAGTGTTGACAGATACGTTAGGTAGTGCCACACTGCCCCAGCTGGAGGATGTTTAGGAGAGACGGTGGTCCGTACACACAACTCCGTCTTCAATCAGTGTGAAGTCTTGACTCGCTTTGTGTTCCTACAGGGCATCATTCTTGGGAGAGAAGAGAGCTGCCAGGCCCAGAGGTTCATTGTTCATTATATCCTTATCTGGCTTCGGCTTTTTAAAGAGCGATGGAAGATTCCGGATATGAACCTCCTTCCTGAACTGCTGGCACAGAGCTTTCTGTTGGCAGGGGACAGGTAGAGGAAAGGTTAAACACAGCTATCCCAGACCTGCAGGAAAGAATTTCATTAGACTGTCCGGCCCTGTTGAGCTGCTGAACATTTTTCTGCTGCGGCGAACAGAAGATTTACAACACAGCCAGAATCACTCTGCTGAGTAATGACTTGCACTAAAAGGCCAGCGTCTATGGTTACTCCTAATGAGCCATCTACAGTGGGATATACTAGAGAAGCACTGCTCTCTAGTGGGGAAATGTAGCATTACCCCAACAGTTCCTGCAATAAGCTTCCTGAACTGGTCTTTTCTCTTCTTTTCTCCAAACTTCTGGGCACTGGGGTCCATGAGCCTGTGGTCATACTGGTCCAGAGCCTCCAAATTGATGTTTGGGATCTGGGTCATCACTCCTCTCAGCTCCATATAGCGAGGCCGCTAACAGGGACACAGACATTTAAAAAGGATACAATATAAGAAAGCAAGATGATATGAAACTTAAATTTTGGGAATGTATTACACCCGTCTCCAAAACAAGAGTAAATTTTACTTCATCCCAAAGACAGACATTATTTGTCATGCAAAACTCTCAAATCTTCGCCGATTCCAGCTTTGGAAATTGTTGTTTGTTTTTTTTGTAAGTTTACATCTTAAAAAATCTTTCTTTCTGATCAAGACTTTTTCACTATAATCTGTTGTTTTATAGGTCAAAGCAGAATATAGACAACAGATTAATTAGTAGTGAAAGTAAAATAAGTCCTCTAAAGGGCGGGGAAAAAAGGAGCAAATATGTAAATATGTCAGATATGTTCAAAATTTGCCTCACCAGGTTTTCATAGATGAGCATTGCCAACTGAGAGAGGGTAGAGCTGCAGACCTCATGCTGCCCATGAACTTGAAGGCCCCTGAGAACGCTGGTAAAGAACCACGTAACAGCTTCAGTAAGAAGATTACCCGCAACAACCTGGAGACAAGAGAAATATAAAGCTATGCAAGACATTTATTCAGCCACCTCCCAGGTCAAAGATTGTTAAATTTTAGGGATGTGTTTGTTAAATTCTGCTTTCATACGGATGCTACGTGACACCAGTACCAATGTCTTGTGTATTTTGTTTTGTTGGCATTTGTTATTGTTGGCACTCTCCTCTTTTGTTACAGAGAATCAAAGAAGTCTTCATTATACATGAATAACTTTAAGGTACTTTAGCCTTTTGTCACACCATCTTCAAGCACCCAAATGCAAAACTGACAGAAAAACACCAGATTAAAACATGAACATTTGGCCTATACTGATGTTAAGCTGATAATTCATCAGATCTTTACAAATCCATAAATATTGCTATTTAAAATCTTGCAATGTATTTTTTCGTAACCTCAAAAGGTAAAAAAAAAAAATGTACAGTTGATGCCAACCACCGTTTCCTGTGTAAGCCTATAGCACTTCAGTCCTTTGTGCTATAAACCGCCATCTTACTTAATAAAATCTCCTTAAATACACTAAGCACAGGCTTATGTTTTGGGTCATATATACACTGTGATGCTGAAATCAATCCTAAACAAATGCACAACTTATTCTTGCTTACGTAGCATTTCATTATAAAGTACAGTCCTCAGGAACCTGTTGTGCATACTTGAGTCCCACATTTAAAGACATCTGGGTTAAATATAGCCAGACAGCTTGTGCATAAAAGCAACGTGTGTGATGAGAGCATCAAAAAAAAGCTGCTGCCTTGTATTTAGGTTAGATTAAATGTGCTACCTGCCGCAGCAGAGTCCAGCAGACCAGGGAAGCAGTGCGATGACAGTTGGTGGCATCCTTCCAGGAAAGTGAGGTAAAGGACAGGGTCAGCAGGGACATGTAGAGGTTCTGAGAAATGAAAAAGAAGCATTACGTTTTTAATAATGTACAACTGTGCTTTTCTCTGAATGATACGTGATGCGTTTTAGGTCGACCTCGTGCTTCAGGAGACATTTCCCCAGCTCTGTCAGCTCCTCTGTGGGCTGAGCAGGAGACGCTGACTGCACTGAATCCATCATCACATCTTCCTCTGCAAGAGCATGTTTCAACAACAACAACAAATTTTAATTAAAAATAAAGAGATACGCCAGAATAAAAATCATCCAGTTAATTCAAATTCTCCAGTTTTACTCTTACCATCCATTTCCTCCTTATTGGCTGCAGGTTCAGATACCTTTCTGGAAATGCAGGTCACAGCTAAAACAAAAGGAAAACACAATTGTGATGTTTTGACAACTGAACTTCCATCTTTAAAAGCTAATCAGACAGCTAAAAAACAAACAAACAAACAAACAACCAAACCCACTACATAGACACAAAACCTTGGACATTCATTGCACAATGCACAGTAACAGCAAAAATCCTTAATTTCCCTAAGCCGCTATCAATTCACAAAAGCCTTCATGTTCAAAACAGAAGCTCTCTTTGAATTACACTTCAAAATTACCAGCATTTCTGCACTGATGAGTGATCAAACTAAACCAAACTAAAATACATGTTAAGCAGTCACTCACAATGCAGGCTGAAAAAGAGTGTGCACTCTTAAGTTTAGTGTCTTGATTAGATGCTCAGTCATCCAGGTAAGGAAATCCCCAAAACCTGATTCTGTTCATCTGGACGTAGCGTTTTCAGTGGGAGAAACATTTCCTTGATTCAGAGATGGTCTTTCCCTTTTTACTGAAAACGCTACGTCCAGATGAACAGATTCAACTTTTGGAGGGGATCTTAAATTTCGTACTTTAAATACCACTTTGGCAACAACATCCTCAATCAAATATTATCTGCCAATCAGACTTTGTATAACTTTTGTTTATAAGAAGGTGAAATTCTCTGCAAACACTTCCACTTTTAGCTTCTTAATTGGAGCACTTGACTCCAGAGAGCTCAGGGAGAAGTCATTAACGCAGAGTTTCACATCTTTTCTGCAGCCCTTCAGTGAGTGGCTCCTTGTTCAATAATGGCATAAAAAGTACAACTGTTTGTTATGTATGTATGCATGTATTGTGCTTTTATACTTCTCATAATCTGGATAAACTCAGACATAATCTTATCACTCACCAAAGACAAATCCTACTGGATAGAAAAATCTACCACAAAATGTAGAATTACAGCTTTGTCTTCGTGGCTGAGAGTTGCACTTTTCTGATGTGCTCTGAAACCAACATTAGCTCCAAAAGCTCAACTTTCACAACTTGGCAATAGTGCATTAGAATGAGCATGTATGCGAGTGGGAAGCGGTACTAAAGACACCACTTACTGAGAAGTTCCAGCACCTCCCTCGTCAGCAGGCGTACTACTTGCTCTTCCAACATCTCCTGGGTCACTTGGGTTTCCTGACAAACCAACTCCTCCTCCTCATGCTCACCACTGAGAAAAAAAAAAAAAAAGAAAGAAAAAAAAAAACACCCAAAAAAGGTGAATTATGAGGAAAAACTAAGCAGTGATTTTTTTTAAACTGCAATTGAAAAATTTCCATTCCAGATAAAAGTCTTCATTATGGTCTATATTTGGGGTATATGTGTGTTATTTTTGTCTTATGGACTGAAAATTCATTTGATCACAAACACCGTGCCACAACTTACTTGATAGATGTCCGCTGGTTGATGACCTGCCACCTCATGTTGAGTCTCTGAAGCAGTAATAAGAAACAAAGCCATGATATTTAGCACATTTTAGGCTAAAAAGTTTAAAAGAAGAGAACAGTGGGTGTGGAGATCCTGACCTGCAGCATGTAGCCGAACAATGGTCCCAGCAGAGGGCAGAGTAGACTTTCATAGTACTCCTGGGGACAAGACAGCACCAGCTGCCTCAGAAACAGACGTACACTTGTCAAGGAAATGTAAAGTTTATATAAAGCTTTAGCTCAGTTTTAATTATGTCGGGTCTTGCAGGCCAGTGTGCATCACTGAATTGGAGCATGGAGGAGAAGGGGAAAAGAAGCTGACCAAATCAAATGGAGAAAAAAAAAGCAAATAAGGATATGAATCATTGGGCGAAGTCTGTGATCGGGCACATGGTCGAGGGAGACGAAAGCAGAGCCAGCTATTCCTTCAGCCAACTTGTCGATGTTGTAGAACTCCTGCTGCAGGGACACACCTGCACTTCCCAGGATTTGGTAGCTACATGGATAAAAACAGCAAAATTGGAGGTAAACTTAATATAACAACATGTAAGGTATATAAAAAGCCAAGAAAACTTTGGGTTAAAGCTGTCAAAGCCACAGTTCTCACCAGTTATCATATAATGTGCAGAAAAATCCCTGCATGCGCTCTATCGTGGTTTTACACACGGGAGAGTCGTAAATATCCAAAAGATGATGAGAGAGACCTGTAGACGGGATGCACTTAAGTTTGACCACAGTCTTTTTTAAGGTGATTGCCGACTTCTGGTAAAAAATGCGGACAAAACTCCTCTTACCAAGAACCACTTTCTTCTCACTATCCATGATCTCATGAGCTCTGCTGAAGGTCTCACTGAGACGGGCCATGTTCTCAGGCAGGAAAAGACTGTTGTGGGTCCTGCAGTGAGGAATAACAAGAGGGGAAAGTCAATGATCAACATATCAGTACGGTAAAAAGGATAATTAATCATTTTTTTACAAATTTCTGTAACATCATGGTACAAGCGCACCTGATTAGTGCTAGTAAATTGGGCAGCAAAATCCGAAACTGGGCAGTGCAGGGGTTTCTGTACGTGGGAGCTCCAGCAGGAGTGTAGCCCACAACAAAGCCACCAGCCTTGGCCTCCTCCAGGTCTGCAGGCCAGTGTGCCCGCTTCACCACCGCCAATATGGCATACAAACAGAAGCTCAACTAGAGGAGGATTCAATTAAAAAGAAAATACAAAAAAAAGGATTAAACAGTTACAAGTTACCTTGTTACAACTAACTACAAGCAATTTTTATCCGTTCTTATAACTTTGAAATTTTGTGTCATATCTATCACCAGCATTTTTAGTTTGTCAAATAATTTTGTTTATCATCAAATAGCTAAAAAAAAAAAAGTTTTTCCATTTGCCACAGCTGCACTCTGTGTTTATTTCTAATCAGCAAATTTAACCATGCTGCGTTAGATTAGATTAAAAGCCTTGCTACACCTAGTTACAGTCACATAGCTGCTACAAAACCTCAGGGCCTACACCCAGATGGTTTTCAGCTTTGTTTATTAATAAAATATAAACTCCAACGACAAGCCAAAAACTGCGTCAGAATTTGAAATATGAGCTTTTGTGGCTGGTGCAAAAAATAAATAAATAAAAATTGGTGACATGGCACATTCTGTCTGGAAAGTTTTTCTTTGCTTACGTAATAAACAACTTACACAACGCAAAAAACAAGTTTCGTCAGTGAGCACACGTCCATGTGCAACGTCTTTAAAAGGTCAAATAACGTCTGTTTCCCTTCCGACATTTTGTCATTACACAAAAGTGAGACAAGCAAACCTACAGTGATCTCCAAAGGCAGTATCCCTCCACATAAATGAGTTCACGCCTATACACTTACTCTGCCTCTATTAATGGCTGCTGTATCTGCATCTTCATTTTGCTCCGTGACCACCTTATCTGCTCCAATAAAGGACAAGAATGTGTCTGGGTTCCACAACACACTGAAAAACAAAGAAGAGAAAACTATCATTTATCGCTATCGTGTTCAATTTGAGGCAAACTGAGAGAATTCAAACTCACTGCCTAATCTCATTTGAAGTCCACTCTGCAACCACTGAGGCCATCAGTTCATCTACAAACGCCTTCTGCTTCTCATAGTCTTTGAACTGGTTACTGATGAGAACCAGAGCTTCCATCAGGGCGCATTTCTCCATGTGAGTGAGCGCGACTCCGCTCGAAAACAGTTCCTTCACATGATTGTAAAACATCTCAAAACAAGGCTGTAGAAAGAAAAAAGGGCATCATTAAAGACACTGACTTACTTCTATACAGAAAAGTGTACTTCAGAAAGACAAATTATCATTAGTTATTAAGCTAACTGGAATAGAATAGTCCATTACCAGCATATACTGTGGGTAATCCCGGCAGATTTTTATGATGGAAGAACAGGCGTGCCTCCTCACATTCTTCACAGCTCGAGTCCAAGGTGCCTGAAGACATCAGGAGGAGAATACATTTATTGTTTTCCACAGTTGTCATGAAGATGAAGTAAAAATGACTCAGTGAAGGAAACTTACTTTGGGTTCGTGATCAATTTCAAATGTGACGGCCTTAAAGAGCTGCAGGACAAAACAAAATCATTCAAAATCCACATTATTAAAAGAAACTCCTCCAAATAAGCTGAAGGTGTGAATACAAGAAACATCACCACCGAGCAAAAATATGTGACAAGAGGAACTTTCTGATTGATTTTTGACAAACTACATTCACATAGTAAATGTTATTCAGGAACCAGTAACAGCTCAGCTTACCTTGATGAGGACCTGTGGCAGGAAGTGTGGTCTGTGTATGGCCAATGGGAAAAGGGCAGAGACGTTGGTGAGCACACAGGACAAAATGAGTGGGTCTCTGGTTTCGTAGTTCAGCACGGCTTGCAGGAGCTCCATGCTCTGATCAATGGGTAACTTCTACAAAGGCAGAAGGAGCGAAAGCCTTCATTATTAGTTTGACTACTATTACTTTTACACTGCTATTTTCATTCTGTTACAGAAAACTTGTTCCTTTACCTCCTCATCCACACTTTTAATGATCTGCGAGACCATGCATTCCATGAAGACCGTCATTGCATCCCACTGGACCACTGAAGGGGACAAGAGGGAACACAGGCCCTCTGCAGTCTTAGCTAGAGAGATGCAAAGGGAGAGGCGCCCATTCACAGCAGATTCAGCCATCAATATGGAAATGAAACTTGTGTTTAAGGTTTTGCTAAGGATGTGCTGCACAAAAAAGTTGCCATCAAAGTCAATATCAGCCAATAATATATCAGAGCTTCCCCAATTCTTGCTTAGTGTCCTTAAAAGACTCGAAAGGATACTGTAAAGCTTATATGTTAGTAGCAATATGAGTTTGCTATTCCCAAACTGACTGCTCTAGTTTCCCAATTAACTCCAGGCTTAAATTATTGCAATATTATTCCGTATTTTACATGATGAATTAACTATCGGCATATGGCCATAAAAATCCCTTCAAGTAGTAAACCAAAACACGTGTGAAAACAGCGATCATTTCCTCTTTGGTATTGTGTCAAAGACTACTTACATGCGTTATCTCCAGTATCTATTGGGCTAGTAATCTGATACTGTAACCATTCTGCTCCTATCCGGAAAGCCTCTAGAGGAACAATGCGGCATGTGCTCCTCAAAACTTCCCCCTGCTGCGCTCGGAAAGCTGCAAAGCACCAAAAGAAACAATGAAAAACATAAACCATGCACAAAATAAAAGAGTCAGAACTACTGAAGCAAAACTTGAATCCCCGGTACTTACAATTAAAAAAAGAGTTGAAGTCCTCATCACTGTCAAAGTCCACACGGGAGTACTCGCAGCTTGGGTTATTGTCTCTAGATGGGAACCCAGCCTAAGGAGGGGAAGATGAAAGTTATTAACACTTTGGCTTTAGGTCACACTGTTAATGATATTGCTGTCACCACGACCTCACCTTAACTAAGTTGGTCATAGAGGCTCTGAGAAATTTGACGGCCATCTTGACAACAGCTGCATCCTTTGAAAGAGCCTCATGTCTGAACAAAGCTCCCCATGTCGCCATGGTTGAGGACTTTAAAAACTGCAGTGAAATAAAGAGAAAAGTCATTTTCTTTAAACGCTGTTCACTCAAATGAAATTTTACTTCAAAAGGGTCCAATCTTTTTCCTGAGGTATCTCACCTGACTGGAATGCGTAGTAAAGGCTAAAAGGGCTTCCATGTACTTGCTGAGGTTTGCAGGTACTTCAACCTCTACGTCTGAACCCTGGGGAGAAAAGATGAGAAACTGTTACCCATCTTCAATCTTTAAAAACGAATATCTAAAGTGCTTAAAAATGGCCAAACTTACCACTAATGAGCAAAGCTGACCTCCCAAAGCACACAGGACCTGACAGAGCCTCTTCAGGAAAATGTAACGCCGCTCCACCACCTCCACTGCTCTAGAGGTACACATAGAGGGCTCTGAGTCACGGCTACTTAATGATGATTCTGCAGATTTCTGATATATCGCAAGTCCATCTGCTGTCCTGTAAGCAGACACACAAACCATTAAATTGCAGTAGAAGTGGTAGCATGAAGCCTGCAGAGACATGGAGAGAAGCTGTACTCACTGGGCTGCAGAAAGAATATACTGGATGGCCACATCATCAAACAGAAGCATGAATGGTTTCCTCTCTTCCAGCTTGCCCTGTGGCAGAATGACAGATTATTAATTGGTAGTAAAAAAAAACTATAGCTTACCATAATGTAGTATTACTGGTCTGATCTGCAAGACTACTCTAAATCCCCAAAAGAAAGCCTCTAAATTATCAAAAATAGAGTTATTTTAATAGTAAATTCTCTCAAAGTGTATAAGGATTTTTAAAAAGACAGATTAAACAAATATTTCCCATCCTCAACACTTATTTACTCATTGTATTCCCATTCATCCAAGGGGAGGATTGTGTCAAACAAGCATCCCGCGTGAAATTTCTGCCAAATCAAACATGCGGTTCTATCTGCTGCGAGGACAAAAGCACCTTCGTCATTATTGCTGAAAATATAACACTATTAATGATCATTAGAAATTCTACTCAAAGTTCTATTATGGCAGAAATTTTATGACTCATGGACTTGTTCAGACTCATACCTTGTTGTCATTGTATGATTCACGTGTCCTGATTAGACTTGTGCATTGCTCATGTAATTATGGTCATAATAGCACAATGCATATAAACGTTAAAGCAATTTAACTGCAAAAAACACAATTCTGCAGGACTTATTAGTATATTCAGTGGATCACACTGATGAAAGCTGCTGGGAAAAGAAACTGGAAAAGCTTGTCTGACAATTCTATCATCTCGTAAAAGAAGGTTGCATACAGCAGTGCCTACTTGACAAACCGAGACAAAATCTCTTGAAAGCCATCATGAATACTGTCCCAGCAACTCACCTTGCGGCTCATAGCAATGAGCAGACATTCCGCTGCCTCGAGCTGCAGCTCCGGCTCACTCAGCAGCAGACACAAAATCTCCAGCAGATGACAGTTTCCGGAGGTTATGTACACCAGAGCGACCCAGTCTATGTAGCCTGCAAGTGTATTCAGCGTAGCCACGGCAACTCGACAGTGAGCTCTCATCTGTGTGGATGAAAAATTAGAAGGGAACAATGGGAAGTAATCAAGTCGATTAACAAAGTTTAGAATATTAAAGCAGGCACACACTGATGCTTTCTTACCTGCAGTTCATTTCCAGGAGAACCTTTCTAGATGAAAACAAAAAGAAGACCAATATTGTAAAGTCAGTTTACTCTTAAATTTCTACTTTCTTGCAACACAAATGAGGTCAGGACTCCACTAACCAGTTTACGATAGTCCTCCACATTAATTTGCAGAATGCCCATCATGAAAGTGAAGATGCTTTCCATGTTTTGGGTGAGTGTCTGCTGTATGTCTCTGCGTCGCTGGGTAGGCAACGTCTGGAAGGTGATCACATCCTCAGCCAGCCTCAAAAGGATCAGCATTACCAACTCTGTCTGGGCCTCCTGTGAAAGCAAAGAGGACGTTTTTTTTTTTTTCTTGATTTGCTTTTATCTAGCTTTAAGTGGCTGTGACAGCAGTTTTAAAGAAGTGATTTGTGACAAATCAGCTTGGATTATCAAGAATGTGTCTGAATGCTCACTTTTCCATAAAAGATGCAATGATAGTTTTATCAAGTCAGACCTAATAACATTTAAGCATCCATGAAAAACATGGTACAAGTTTGACTGCTTGTCATTACATTAAAGGATAAGCATGCACAAGCTTACAAATGCTTAAATCTCTCTAGCATTTTAAGTTGTTCACCCCACTGAAAGAAATTATTTTTAAAGAACGCCCCCATAAATGTGGGGACTGACAGATCTCAGGAAGCCTCAAAGCCATTTGCTGTTTCAGCATGAAAGAGTTGTATACATTTATCAAGCAGCGTATGGTGTTTATATGTGCTCAAGCTTTTTAGAGCACTTTTAATACTTTTTTTAAAAAAAAATCTGGAAAATATACAGTCTTCAATGTGCTACAGACCATCCAAAAAGTCTGAGTGACATATAGTATTTTATTCATCTGTTACTTAGCACTAATAATGAGGAATCTGTTTCCTTCTACTGCAGCTGTAAGGTTTATAAATGCATTTTGCTAACCAAGTTTCTTAACCTCAGCTTATAAATAAGCACTCTGCCCCCTTGTTCAAATATGATTGCCTTTTTGGAGCTGACTCCAAAAAGGCAGTATGCAAATAAATGAATGTTGATGTTTTTAAAATGGCAAGTTCAAAACTAATGGGTGAAGCTGCAGTGGAATGGCTATGTCTGTCTTTTATATACAGCCTGTTAAGTTTATGCACATAGCACAGCAGCATTAACTCCTTTTTTTTCTAAAGGTGTAAAATTTAAAAAACAAAAAACAAAAGGAGTTTTAATAGTTATTACGACGTGCTGCGGGGAAAGCCTGTTCTGACGTTTGAGTCTAAGGTTTATTTTCTAGCACATGATGGCTCTTTTTGCTTCGCATCTCTGCATACTCTTTCACGTGATTCAGTTTATTTCGAAAAGTCTCAACAGGATCTTAAGCTTTATTGTGAAAGGTTTATGTGGAAGATAAACAAGCGGACACGCTAGGGTTTTACCCTCATTTTGCTAAAGACAACGCATAAAAAACAGGCGCTTGTCTGTTGGTAGTGTGGTTATAGTAAATATAAGAAAAAGAGAGAACTTTAAGAAATTAATATAGCCACTACAGTGACCATCAAAA